AAGGCCGTGCAAGCACACAAAGATATCGTGTTGCGATGTCTGGATGATAGGGATGAGAGCATTCGACTAAGGTTTACACCAAGCATTTCTTGCTTCTTTATAAGACAGTTTATAGAATCGTCATGTTTCAACTTGGATAGGGGTCACTGCATAACCATCATTAGGATTTGTCGTGGGTAGGGAACGATGCCTAACTGTATGGTGTAGCTTTATATGAACGAGATATCGGACTGGCGATTTGCACGTGAAGGTCGGAAGATCTGGCTTAGCTAGTTGTAGTATTTGGGGACAACCCCAGCAATATAAATGATACTGGACTGCCACGTTTTGAAAGGAGGAGGTGGGCTGGATAGTCTTGGTACCGTACCGCTTTTCTTAAGCATACATCTTTAATCCTGTAACTGCTTGAGGAGTCCTGAAGAAGGAAATTTTCCCTAGGGGGTTGTAGGGGATTTTGTTTGAACTGAATACATAAACTTTTGAAGAAAGTAAAAAGAGAGACTTTGGTAAACTGCCGCTTGCTGGAGTTCCGTCCGAGGCTTCACAGAAGATTGTTTGAAAAACTGAAAGCGATAACAAATCTAATACACTAAGGCTTCGTGGTGAATAGCATCATTCCTCCTGATGAGTTACGGATAGTTACCTCAAGCTACAGCATGATGAAGCTACAGACGATATTTTCAAATGTGCAGGTAGCACCATTTTGCAACATATGATTGAAGTTGTATTTGTTTTCAGAGCGTTGGATTTACTTTATGGGATGGTTTCCAAAAGAAATATCATGGAAATTGTACGTAAACTGATGGATCATGTCGATGCAGCTGAGGGCTCCTACTATCGTGATGAGCTTCTGTCGAGAATAATCTCGATTTGCTCCTACAACAATTATCAGTATATCACCAATTTTGAATGGTACTTGTTAAGCATTGCAGTTAGTACATCCATTTTTTATAGGAATGATTAGTGAATTTTCGATAGCCCTTTTGTGATAGGGCAGAGTGCTGTCACTAGCTATGAATAAGCGGAATTT